ATGAATGCCATGTACAGAGGTTGATTTTGTTCCCTGCATTTTTCTTGGAGCTGTCGTCCAGCGAAGATCATGTCCACTGTTCCTCTGGAGGGGCGGAAGCCATTCTGAGATTCTGGGAGGGTGTCTTCTGAGAGGGGCAGAAGGCGGTTTGCAAGGATTCTTGCGAGGATTTTCCCAGCAGAGGTTAGAAGGGAGATACCTCGATAGTTTCCGCAGTCTGTTCTTTCCCCTTTTTTGAAGAGGGTGATGATGGTGGCATCCTTGAAATCTGCTGGGATTTTCTCGGTCACCCACACTTTTTCTATGAGCTGGTGGAGTTGGTGTGTCAGCTCAGGTCCTCCCTCTTTAAAGATTTCAGCAGGGATCCCATCTGGTCCACTGGCTTTGTTATTCTTCTGTTGGCTGATGGCATTGCTGACTTCTTCCAAACTAGGCAGTGCTGCAAGCTCATCCCTGGTTTGTTGTTGCGGGATTTGTGAGAGGACCTCTTCGGCCACATTGGAGCTGCGGTTCAGGAGGCTTTGGTAGTGTTCTTTCCAACGTAGTGCAATTGAGTTTTGGTCCTTCAGGAGTTTGGTTCCATCTGATGAGCGTAGAGGCTGTATGCCATGGTTTCTTGGTCGTAGATGACCTTTGTGGCTTTGAAAAATCCCTGAGCATTATGGGTATCTGCCAGGTGTTGGATTTCTTCGGCCTTCTTTGTCCACCAGATGTTCTTGAGTTCTCTTGTCCTTCTTTGGACCTCAGCTTTTGCACTGGCATAGATCTTTTTCTTAGCAGCACAGTTGATGTCTCTCTGCCATGCTTGGAAGGCTTTCCTTTTCTTGTCAATTAGCTGTTGGATCTCGATGTCATTTTCATCAAACCAGTCTTGATGTTTCTTGGCTTGGTATCCAATAGTTTCTTCGCAGGCTTGGATGATGGAGGTCTTCAGTTTGTTCCAATGTTCCTCGACATTTTCGGGGTGTACTGTGGGTAGATGGTCCTTGAGTGCTGTTTGGAGATGGGCTCGTCTGGAGGGCTCCTGAAGGGCTTGGGTGTTCATTTTGCGCCTTGTCTTCCTTCCTTGGAGTCTGCGCTTGGGAGCGATCTTGAGAGCCATCGAGGATCGAATTAGCCTGTGGTCAGTCCAGCAGTCGTCAGCACCTGTCATGGCTCTTGTGAGGAGCACATCACGGCGGTCTCTGGCGCGTGTGATTACATAGTCTAAGAGGTGCCAATGCTTTGACCGGGGGTGCTTCCATGATGTCTTGAACTTGTTTTTCTGGCGAAGAGCGTGTTGGTGATGACAAGGTTGTGCTCCGCACATTTGGTGAGAAGCAGGATGCCATTTGAGTTGCTGTTTCCAACCCCGTCTTTTCCTATGGTCCCTGGCCACAGGTCGAAGTCTCGCCCGACTCTTGCGTTGAAGTCCCCCAGGAGGATGATTTTGTCCTCCTTAGGTATCCCTGATAGGACGGTGTCCAGCTGACAGTAGAATTTCTCCTTGATGTCTTCGTCAGCATCTAGTGTTGGTGCATAGGCACTTATGATGGTTGCCCGTTGGTTTTTGGCAAGATCGATTCGGAGGGTTGAGAGTCGTTCGTTGATGCCAGTGGGTGCTTCGGACAGATGTTTCATCAGATCATTTCTGATGGCGAAGCCAACTCCGTGCATTCTTTGGTCTTTTTCGGGCAGTCCCTTCCAGAAGAAGGTGTAGCCTCCTTTTTCTTCCTTCAGCTGTCCCTCTCCTGCTCTCCGGGTCTCCTGAAGGGCTGCTATGTCGATGTTGAAGCGTCCCAGCTCCCTTGCAATGATGGCAGTTCTGCGTTCGGGGCGTTCACTGCCACTGTTGTCCATCAGAGTCCGTACGTTCCACGTACCGAAGTTCATTTTCCTTTTTTGGCCGCAGGGTGGTAACCCCACTGGACGCGGCAGTCCAGTCAGGGATAAGTGAGGCAGACTATGTTTAGGGCACCTTTTCTAGCCCCCTCCCCATGTGGGGTGAGCAGAGTGGGTCCTCAAAGGGCTGCTCAGTCGCGGATACAGCTGCCGAACTACTCAACTGCCTCGGACCTTGAGGTAGAACGACTGAGTCCGTACCCACCGCCCATGTGCCAGTCTGTGACTAGGGGCTTCCAGATTTCACAGTCCTGCCCCCGTCGCCACTCGCTGATCGCCATGGGACTTTGGTTGGTTTGTTTTTATTTTCTTTGGAAGACGCCTGTGCGTGGGTTTTTTTAATGTGTGGAGGTCAGTGCACAACTGATCAACACACAGACTTCACAGAGTGAGGTTCCACTGGTGATGTAGTTTAACACAATGACCGTGGCTTCTCAGTCTGTTGCAGCCTTCTTCCGCCTTCGCAGCCGTTGTAACATGTGCCATGTTATCCTCCGCCTGCTCCGCCGTTGAGGTCTTTGGGTCTTCGGACTGTGCTTGGTCTGGAACCTCCCCCGCAGCCACTCCTGGGAGTGCACGACTCCAGTTGTTGTGCCTACAAGGTGACAGTCCATCGAGGGGGTATATAGGTAGTCTCTATATATGGTAAACTGCACTACAACAAAAGGTCTTAGGGATGGAATCAAATCTGGGGATATCAGAGATTCATGTTGCTACCCAGTCACTGTTTGTCTCTGAATACCATTTCAGTGGGAAAGACTACAACTGGTGCTCAAGACAATTCTGACTAACAATTTTGTCCTAAAAGCCAGACGAAGCCATCAGACCCACCCTTGATGAGCATCTATCAAGCCAAGATATAGTTTTTTTTCCTTTCTTTAACAATAATTGGCTAAATGAATCCCCACATGGTTGGCGATGCTCCCCTTTCTTCCTAAATATCTGTTCTAGGTGAAGTGGTGAAAAACATTATTAAAGATACAATGGTCAAGCATACAAAAGGACAGACCATGCTATAAAAGAATCAACTTGGTTTGGATAGATTGTTCTTGTCCACCTAAACAGTTAGACATTTTTGGACAAGTCAATAAACACATAGACAGGAGCAATCTAATAAACAACATTTGCTTGAACCTCTGACCATAGACTCTTGTAAAAACTTAGCGGTCAAAGAATAAGTCCTTTTAAGAATCCAAAATTGGTCAACAGGAAGCAGACAAGAATAAACTGCTAATTCTTGCAAGAGTGGGGTGAGAACTCTGGAGCTCCTTGGGGATCTGTATTGGGGCCAATGCTTTTAAACATGTTCATAAATGACCTGGAAATAATAGATAAATGGCCATGTTTGCATATGATACCAAATTATTTAGAGCAGCTGAAACAAAACACATTGCTAACAGCTCTGAAGTGGGAAAATAAGAATTAATATTGCAAGTTAATATATTAAGTTAAGCAAGTCCTAATTTTACATATACGCTGATAAAATTTACGATGGCACTGGCAAGAAAGGAATCTTAGAGTTGTGGTTGGGGGTGCTTTGATTGTGTGTTCACACATGGCAGGGGACTGGACTGGATGGCCCTTGTGGTCTCTTCCAACTTTATGATTCTATAATTCCACATGAAAAGGCAACCTAAAGTGATGGTTTTTTGAAGACTGTAATTTCTGTGTTGGACATAACTAGAAAAGAAACTAAAAACAAAATTACCATTATAATATTTCTTAAATTTGTGGTGCAGCTACAATTGTACAATTCTAATCAACAGGAAAACAAAGCAATCAAGGAACATTTTGTTGAAGAGCAACAATTACTATACTGTTAGCTTAGAAAAATGGCAACTAAGCCAAAACACATTACATGCATATAATAACATCATGCATGGTGTGAAGAAAACAGATAAGATAAAATGTATTATGAGATTCTCCCTATCTCATATTAAAAGCAAGGGTGATGCACTGAAGACAGATGCTGGGAGATTAAGACCAGTTATGAGGAAGATATACTATGCACAAGACATATAGTGAAATAAAACTATGCATCGTGAAACCAACTTGCCACCATGAAGAAGCAGGAAGCAAAAGGGGACAATTCTGTTACTGACTGTCAATTGTTTTTTCCTTTAGAAAGCCCAACATATTTCAACCCTTTAAAAGGAAAATTTAATAGAAATCTCTGAGTTGTAGACAACACTTCATTTTAAATGGCTGAACCATTAATGGTCCACAATTTCAGTTGACCATCAATTAGCATATGGAGCTTTTCTCCTTTTTGTTTGTTGCTTTAAAACATACATACTTTTCAGTACTTTCTCAACCACAGTGAAGCAGCAGTGCTTACTAACTTGGATACTTTTAAAAAGGAGATTGGACAAATTCATGGAGGATAAGGTTATTAGTGGCAACTAATCACCATGCATATATGTGGGAGGATGATCTTGTGCTCATATCTAGCTGTGAGTTTCACTTAATCATTTGGTTGTCTAACATGGAAACAGAATATTGGAGTACACAGTCTGATCTAGTAGGGCTCCCCTTATCCACTTTTTGAATTTGAAGATAAGGTGTCTTGCTTGGTGAACATGGCTCTGTTGTTCTCTGAAATCAATTTAGCAAAGTCTAATCTGAATCCAAGGTTACATGACAAACTGTTTGTCAAAGTGAATTACAACTCCCCTTATTTATGTAAGTTTTGTGTTACCCCCAAATGAAAATGAATGGTATGTTTACTGAAGACCAGAACTCTCACTGCTGTCAGGGTCACCGATGCAAAGAAGGAGTTAGCATCTAATAAGACATCACTGCAAAATGGCATATAGGCTGCTCTGAACATTTTGAGAGGTATGGGGAAAATCCTAACAAATGAATGAACACAAAAATAAATAGACTCATAAATCTGTACGTGTCATTTCACTTTGCTGTCTAAAAGACAGCATAAAAATTCAAACTCAACAGAAAAAAATGATCAAAAGGCATTTTACATTTTTACAGGGTACATTCTACAAAGCAACACAAATGAGCAAAAAGCACAGCAATATACCTTACTAACACCTGGTGTTAACAAAGCCAGAGTAAAAAATACATTATAGGGAAAATGACAACAGCAGGCTTTAAATACTTACCCTTGGAAATGTTGTAAATCTGTCTAGTTCTTCTACAAAGCAGAACATCTGCAAACTGATTGCTGACATTACAATTAACAGGCTGGCAGTGAATACTACTAAACTCCCAAGCTTTTTTCCAGGTCCAAAAATCTTATATACAAAGTCTTCCAGGGCAGGAGAAATCTTTATAAGTCGAACCACCCTAAGCACCTACAAGGAAAAGCAAAATACATTTATTAATCTTGCTGTAATATATTTTTCCCATGATTTTCTGGTGTTAAATATTATATGTCGAATAGGAAAGTAATAAACATTCTGCTTCACTGATATCATTTATGTTTTTACTAAAATGTAAACCATATTATAATTACAGTTTATTAATGAGAACAACTTTACTATGACTAGTACATAATGGAACCACTGAACAATTGGACATCATGAAAATTTCCCAAAAAAATCAGCGAGGGCTTCAGTTTTAACACAGATAACTTCCATCTGCTATTCTGGTAGGTCTCAGACTCTCGTGATTCATCCCCCCCCCTTTCCTTAAGATTTAGGAGCTCCAGTACCTCCAAAAGTTTCTTCTTATTGTGTTTTGGTATCTATAAAATTTCTCCTGGTTTCTGAGTCCCAGTTTCATGATTTCAGGTTTGCTTAAATTAGCTCCCTAGTTAGCTTTTCTGATATATATATATATATATATGTGTGTGTGTGTGTGTGTGTGTGTGTGTGTGTATGTGTATAAAATCAGATGATAAGTCCTTTCTCATCAACCTCAATTCATAAAAAATGGGGTTAGTTCAACTAGTTTTGGTTTATCCACATATTTATTTATTTATATTTATTTATAACCAGCTTAATCTCTCCAGAGGAGACTCAAAGTAACTTAACATAAAAGTATTTGCATGCAATTTAAAATATACAAATATACAAACATTAAAACAGAATTAGATATAAACAATATTTAAAAAACCCCCAATTGTTCTTAAAAGTCTTCATCTTTAAAAGCATATCTGAATAAAAAAGTTTTAATCTGCTGCTGGAAGGACAAGATTGAGGGGGACATTCTGGCTTCCTTGAGAGGGAGTTCCAGAGTTGAGGGCAGCCACCAAAAAGGTCCTCTCTCTCATTCCCACCAACTTAGCTTGAGGTGGAGGTGGGACCAAAAGAAGGGTATCTCCTGAAGATCTATGAGCGCGGGCAGGTTCATACAAGGGGATACAGTCAGCCAAATAGTCTGGACCTGAACATCCAGGGCTTTAAAGGTCATGAGATACTGTGCATTTATATTTTTATTGGTTTTAATTTATTTTATCAAATGTTATTTATGCTAAATGTTTTAATTGTTATTTGTTTTGAGGGCATCAAATTGTGCCATTTGTAAACTGCGCTGAGTCGCCTTTGGGCTGAGAAAGCCGGTATATAAATATGGTTAATAAATAAATACATAAATAACCAGCACTTTGAATTGTGCCCGGAAACAGACTGGCATCTAGTGGAGCTGTTGCAACAGGGAGGTTGTCCGCTCCCTGTAGCCAGCCCCAGTTAGCAAACTTCAGATGAGCTGAAGTTTCCAAGCACTCTTCAGTGGTAGTCCCACATAGAGCATGTTACAGTCATCCAGACAGGTTGTAACTAAGGCATGTACCACTGTGGCCAGTTCTGTCTTCTCAAGGAAATGGCACAATTGATGCACAAATTTTAATTGTACAAAGCTTTCCTGACTACTGCCAACACCTAGGCCTCCATGTTCAGTCCAGAGTCTAGGAGCCCCCCAAACTGCAAACCTGTGTCTTCAGGGAGAGTGTGACCCTGTCCAGCACAGGCTGTATCCCTATTCCCTGATCTACCTTCCGACTGACCAGGAGTACCTCTGTCTAGTCTGGAATAAGTTTCAATGTGTTTGTCCTCATTCAGTCCATTACTGATGACAGGCACTGGTTTGGGGATCAGGGCATATGTTCTTCTAGCCGCTTTAACAGTCATTTTCCTTGAAAACATTTGTTATCAGTTGATCTAAAATATCAGTTCACATGGTAGCACTGCAGTTTACATTATTTCTACCCCCCCCTCTCTTTTAATGTTTCTATGTTACTGTTGTCAAGACAAGAGCTTCCAAAAGCTCAAATATTTATACCTTGTAAGACTTTGTCCTGAGAAATTGCCTTTGTTTTGGCTGTGAAGTTAATGCAATGTAAACAAAACTTCAACTCTTTGTTAGTCATTTAGGCTGTGGCTAAAAGCCACCTCACCTCTCAAGATTTATTGGAGTTCTTAAATATTGCTGCTCAAACAGCTCCATGATGGAGCTTCCTTATTATGACTGCAGCTGCCTTTTCTATTTGTTACATTCCTTTTATATTCCAATCAGTAACTGAACTTTACTTACTTCTCTGATCTACAGAAGAAAATCTGAAAGGGAGATTAATTGACCAGCAATTAGGAGTGTATAAGAAAAGAAGTCCCAGTGGCAATGGGACTTCTCAGTCCCTATCTGACCCCCAAGGCACTGAGACAATTGCCAAGATAGATGCCTTAGCAAAGTATCAGCGTTAAAAAAACTGGACCTTGTAGCCTCCAAACTCTCCGTCATTGGGGTATTTCCATCAGTTCAAGACACCACAGGACTGGTGATTTCCACAGGTGGTGGCTCCCCCTCCAGGACTTATTACCTACATGTGGCTCCCCCAGAAAATTTCTTTTTTGAAAATCAACTATACGTCAAAATTAAATTAAATGCAAACATGGGACAAATAAATCTGAAATTAAAATAAAACATATAGCAATAAAAATCACACTCAGCATTGCAATCTAAAACAAAATGACAATGTCATAGTAATAGCACTCTAGCTTAAAATAAAAATGTAATTGTAAACATTTTAATCCTGGTGTGACTTCACTAAAGCCAGCCTGTCTATAAACCTGAAATAATACTGGAATTAAACACTTTAGCAACATTGCAGAAAGCAGTTTTCAAGACACTTAAACTTTTACACGCAAGATACAGTTCAGTGTTGGGGAAGATGTGATTCTCCAGACAGTGTTGAGTTGTGACTGCCAGAATTCAAGCTCACTGATTACTGGGTCAGGCTATTGGAAATTGTAGACCAACAACGTCTTGAGGGCTCAGAGTTGTAAAGAATATTAACTAATTTTTGGGCCCATGACATTTAAGGTGTCAGTACATACTGGCAAATGTGGAGGATTTTAATTTCTGCATAACAGCAAAATGACTGAAAAAATCATTTAAATTACTGTAAACAAACAAACAAACAAAAAAAAACACTGCACAAAATTAATCTTTCTTCTCTGTTCAGTAAAAAACACACAGCAACAACAATTGTAATTTGTGCAAAACTTTGCTTTGAAAATGGAAATGGTTTCCAAAAGTGTACAAAACAACCCAAAAATCTTCTTTCATTTTCCTTGCAAGTACAAGAAAAAAGGGATTTCTATCCTCTAGAGAGTCACAGCTGCATATTTCTATTCTAGAGTGTCCTTGTTTGATTTAATTATGTAATTAGTATTCTCATCTGCAGAGAAAAGCAAGGCAAACAAATCTTCTCCGAGGAAGGCAATGGTAAACAAATCTTCTGAACAAATCTTGCCAAGAGACCCCTGTGATAGGATCACCTTTGGGTTTCCATAGGTCATAACAACTTGAAGCTACATGAAAACAACAACAACAACACAGCTTATAAGCTTTGGGTGATGCTAAACACATCACTGAAAGTTGCATTTCTGTATTTTTGTTGAATCTTTGCAACTGTTCATTGGAGGGGGACACTTGGCTGGGGATGGAGGTGAAACCATTCCTTCTGTACCACTGACTATGAAAATCTGTGATGCCTAAAATAGCTACTTGATTCTTTAGGCATCTATAGGAGCATCTATTGGAGTCTCCAATGTCAGGGAATCTGCTGCGCTAAAGAAGCAACCCAGGGTGCTGAACAGCGTTGAGAATGTTGTGTAACATATACTACCTATATTTTTTTAAAGACAGATGGAATTAAGACTGGAATTTTCTGAAAGTATAGATCAGCATTTCTCCACCTGGGGTTGGGACCCCTCGGGGGGGGGGGTGCAAGAGGGTTTCAGAAGACCATCAGAAAACACATATTTCTGATGAACTTAAGAACCCCTTTGGCAGAGAAGGYTGAAGATCTCTCCATCTGTCCTTCTCTTCCTTTTTGGAAACAGATGTCGAATCCTCCCTCAGTCAAGGGGAGGGCTGTTTCTGGGACTCCAAAGGTGAATGGAGAGCAGGCATGAGGGAGTGTGCGTGAGGCTGGAGGGAGGCTTGCGTCCCTACAAGGCAGGGGAAAAGAGCCCTTTGATTGTAGGTTAACAGTAAATCCCAGCAACTACAACTCCTAAATGACAAAATCAATCCCCTCCCAACCCCACCAGTATTCAAATTTGGGAGTATCAGGTATTGGTGCCAAATTTGGTTCAGTGAATGAAAATACATCCCGCATATCAGTTATTTACATTACAATAATTTCATGGTTGGGAGCCACCACAACATGAGAGATTGTACTAAGAGTCATGGCATTAGGAAGGTTGAGAATCACTGGTATAGATCCTCTTTAAATGTTAGGAAGAGTTGCATACTTCCATATCTGAGTAGTTTTCCATTGAATCTGTTTTGCTATGAAGTCTCTTGTTGTGTGCCTTCAAGTCTCTGCCCTCACCATTAAATTGCTTTAATTGACATTTAAGTAGCACATTAATCTTTCCAGTAACTCTTCTGCCTGCCCATTTGTTTTCATTAAGAGGAAGAAGGGGCAGGGTAATTTTCAAAGGAACATGGCTAAGGCAGTCTGAGGATCAGGGGAAGGCAACTGCATTCAAAGAAGCTACAGAACTTTCAGTAGTTTGAAAATAAGTGTCTATGTTAGTCCCTTGCAGTAAAAAAAGGAAGGGGGGGGGGGAAATAGTGATATGGCAACATTTCTAAAACTGACTGGTTTTTATTTTTGTACAAGCAAAACATATTTCTCTGGTCTGGAAAGTGAGTGGCAGCCACTGTAGCTAGAAAGAATGACTGATGTACTGATAGGAATAAAAGGAAGGTGAATAAATATTGCAAGCTCTGTTACACAGTAGGGAAGCCTACACAGGTGAAAAATAGATCTGGCGGATAAATTGGGGGTATATTTAACATGGGAATTCTTTTCCTCTCTAGCTCATTGCTGCTTGGCTGGAGA